TCTAAACCTGTATGACTGACTTTCTTTTGTGGAACTAAACAAAATAATTTAAAAAATGTCTGAGATATTTTGTCTATATTAAAAGTCAATGGGGTCAAGTCTTGCTTAGAAAGTCAATACAGTCACACAAGACTGGAACAACACAAGGGTGAATTTTCATTTTTGGGTGAACTGTCTCTTCCAATATGGACTGAGCAGTTTCAGTGAAGTTTATTATGAAACTTTGGTACATATGGAAACATATCAAAACAGTCCAATTTTATGATACGAGACTCACACTGGGCTGTTTCGGAAGCATAGACTCCTCTGTATTTGACACTGCTGGAGCTACTACACGGTCAGTGCTGGTGGGACTTTCATCATCTAAAACAGAGAGACATAAGTAATTAAAATCAAAACTATTTGAATAATGTTTTATGCAGCCCAAGAAATATCTAAAATTTATCTTCTCATTTTGACAAAAACAGAGAAATGAAACTAAATATATAATAAACACCTGAGTCTAGAATGCGTTTAATTTTTTTCCTTCTGGGTGTTTCCACTTCTGCCCATCTAAAAGAAACCAAAACACAGGATCATTACAATCACGCTGTGATTACTAACTAGACAATATTCTGTAATTAAACGTTTTCTACAGACTACTCACCGTACCAGTGAATCATATGCACTCTGTTAAATACAATTTTTAAAAAAAAGACAAAATTAGAATAAGCTGTACTTTTAACCAGTATTATTTTTCAGGTCAGTTTGTCTATTTGTCTTCTAAACGCATTCTCACAAGATCATATCTGCTTGTTGATAGAGTATGACCTGTTTCTTAGCATAATGGAAGTAAATTACCATCTGTGAATACAATTCTGTAGCCGCTCATCTCTGAGATGAGGCCCAATAAAAAGGACACATTCATTATTATTAGTGCTGTCAAACGATTAATCGCGATTAATCACATCCAAAATAGAAGTTTTTGTTTACATAATATATTTATGTGTACTGTATTTATTTATTATACACACATATAGTATATATTTTGGAAATATTTGCATGTATATACATTTATATATTTATATTATTATATT